AATACGACTTACATTTTAAACAACAGAAGTCGGTAAAAGGACAAGCCATCTGTGATCTCCTGGCAGCTAATCCAACTACGGACACCGCCGAGATATATGACGACCTACCCGATGAAACCCACGAAGTCAACGCAACTTCGCACCAACAAGTATGGCGTTTGTACTTCGATGGCGCTTCACGAGCAACTAATGTAGCAAGTGCTCCTGGAAGTTCTAAGATTTCTTCCGGAGTGGGAGTTGTCTTAGTCTCCCCAGGAAAACATGTGATGCCTCGAGCCTACTCGCTAACCGAGCCATGCTCGAATAATGTAGCAGAGTATAACCTCGTTGACGGAACCGTGCTCACATAATGTAGCCGAATATAATGCATTACTCATAGGACTCAGTTTCGCCAAAGAACTGGGGGTTGAGTACCTCGAAGCCTTTGGCGATTCTCAACTGATAGTTAAACAAGTTCAGGGAGAGTACGAGGTTCGAAGCCAAGATTTAATACCATACCATAAAATGGCAGTGGAGATGGCAGAATCATTCGACGGATTCTTTATCAAACATATTCCACGGCTACAGAACACTTACGCAGATGCGTTAGCGGCATTGGCCGTATCTCTGGCACAACCTCCTGAAACGGAACAGTTTGTTACGGTAAGAACTCACCAACTCTTAGTGCCGCTTTACGGTGAAGATGCCAAGGAAGAAGAGGTTCAAGAGGTGCACGCTACTCAAGTCGAGTTCGAACCACGAGATTGGCGTTTCCCCATCATCGACTACGTCTTGCATGGGATCTTGCCAGAAGATGTGAAGGAAAGAGAGTCAATCCGACGAAGGGCACCAAGATTCTACTATAATACGGAGAATCGAACACTATACCGCAGGGGGTACGATGGGTTGCTAGCACATTGCTTATCAACCAAAGAAGCTGAAGAGGTCCTTAGGGAGGCGCATGAAGGAGAGTGTGGCGCACACCAGCCTGGTCCCAAGCTTTATGACCGCATCAGAAGAATGAGATATTTTTGGCCTTTCATGATGAGTGATGCAATCACATACGCCCGAAAGTGTCACGCATGTCAAGTACATGCGAATTATATGCACCAACCTCCGGAGCATCTGCATCCTTCGGTTACGTCATGGCCGTTCGAGACTTGGGGAATGGACATTGTTGGCCCTATAAATCCCCCATCAGTCAAAGACGACCGGTTCATCCTGGCAATTACCGATTACTTCTCCAAATGGGCTGAGGCAGTTCCACTCAGAGAAGTTAAAACGAGTAACGTCATTGCATTTATCAAGCACCACATCATCTACAGGTATGGTGTTCCAAGACGAATCATACATGACAACGGTCCTCAGTTTGTCAGCAACGCCTTCATAAGGTTCTGCGAAAAGTTTAAAATTCAGGATATCTCGTCAACGGCTTATAATCCCACAGCAAATGGATTAGCTGAAGCCTTCAACAAGACTATCATCAAACTCTTGTCAAAAATCGTGAAAACTAATAAACGAGACTGGGATGACAAGCTTGGCGCGGCTCTATGGGCCTATCGGACCACGGTGCGCACACCGACGGGAGCAACCCCGTATTCACTGGTATACGGATGTGAAGCTGTTCTTCCATTGGAGATTCAAATCCCGTCTCTTCGGATCGCTCTTGCAACCCAGATGACGACCGAAGAACAACATCAGAAACGCCTCGAAGAACTCGAGAGGCTCGATGAAAAGCGCCTGGAAGCTCAACAGCATATTGAGTTTTACCAAGCTAGAATTTCTCGAGCCTTCGACAAAAAGGTTCGACAAAGGAGTTTCAAAGAAGGGGATTTGGTTCTAGCTGAAAGGCGGCCTATGATCCTTAACTCCAAGAAGAAGGGTAAATTTGAACCCAAATGGGAGGGACCATTCGTAGTGGAGACAGTCTACTCGAGTGGCGCATATCGCCTTGTCACCAAGGACGGTGACCGGCTTATGATGCCGATAAACGGCAAGTTCCTGAAAAAATACTATCCTTAGTATCTTCAGGATAACCAATGCATCGGGAAGTTCCCGGAAGAATACCACATGGGTATTCTTAGGGATAACCCAGTCATTGTAGAATTGATGAATAAGAAATCTACGTTCGAACTCTGAATGTCAGAATGTTTCTTCTTATTTTTATCAAAATTCTCTAACTCTTATGAGTTATTTTTGTGAGATGAGATCCAATCCTCTGATAGGTTAATCTTTCCTCACCAAACCATCCGCTGATCAAATTAAACGACAGTGGATCCACCAACATTTCCATCTGCCCGTCGTTGGCATTTCTCAGACTCAACATGTTAGGTCAGAATCACCTAGCATTAAAGTCTCCCTTTGAGTGATAATACGAGTTGGCACTTTCTTTGCTACCCGTATTCCACTTTCTTTGCTTTCTGGTCAAACCTATAAAAGTTAGGGCCAAAGCCAAATTCCTCTCTCGATTCCTTCCATGAACGAGAGGTCCACTTGGAACAGTCAAACCTATAAAAGTTAGGATTGTTTCCGATCTCGCTTAGTCAAGCCTCCACATAGTCAAGACTAATGTCGAGTCGCTCCTTTTCGATAAACGAAAATCCACCTTTGTCCCCTTTTCCACCAAACCTATAAAAGTTAGGGTTGAAATTGGGTCTTCTCCTCAATGAATGAGGGGTTCTTTGGGTTCAAATGACCAATCCTATAAAAGGTAGTGTCGTTCGAACTTTTCCGATTCTCGGAGTGGAGATCCCACTCTTAGTTTCATCCTTCCGGATTCTGGGGGTGGAGATCCCACCTCGAGTTTCCTTTCCAGCTGTAGATAGAATATAAAATTCTTCCTCTTCAGCACCGGGAGATAGAATATAAAATTCTTCCTCTCCTCGGACCTTTCCGATGCTCGGAGTGGAGAACCCACTCCCAGTTCATCATTCCGGATTCTGGGGGTGGGGGATCCCACCTCAAGTTCCCTTTCCGGCCGAAGATAGAATATAAAATTCTTCCTCTTCAGCACCGGGAGATAGAATATAAAATTCTTCCTCTCCCGTTTCTCAATCTGTCTTTGCTTTTAGAAAAGACACGATTGTCAAATCCGGGCACTCGATGCACGGGGAATTTTATCCCGAAGCCTGAGTAGGGATAAGTCAACGCCTAACACGCGTTGCCGGGTAGTCTATTCCCGTGAGAAAGACGAAGTCTATGTATTCAAAATCATAGCATTAAGTCTAAGAGAAGCAATTCTCTTAGCACAACGTTACATGTGAAACGGGTTTTAATAATTCACATGCTAGCCCGATTCAAACGGTAATCGGTAAAGGCACATCAAACCCGTTGATGGCTGGGGGTTTGCCAAAAATCCCAAAGCATTCCTTTAGCACAACGTTACATGCGGAACGGAGTTCGACAATCCGCATGCTAGCCCGATTCAAACGGTAATCGGTAAAGGCATATCAAACCCGTTGAAGGCTGGGGGTTTGCCAAAAACCCCAAAGTCAACGCCTAACACGCGTTGCCGGGTAGTCTATTCCCGTAAGAAAGACGAAGCCTATGTATTCAAAATCATAGCACAAAGCCTCAGAGAGTTTACTCTCTTAGCACAACGTTACATGTGGGACGGATCTAGACAATCCACATGCTAGCCCGATTCAAACGGTGATCGGTAAAGGCATATCAAACCCGTTGATGGCTGGGGGTTTGCCAAAAATCCCATAAAATCTGTCATTCAGAAGAAATACAGACAAATCACAAGAAAGAAGCAAATGCGGAGTTTCTATTAATAGGTCAAGTCAAAAGCATACAACAAAGAGCTCATTAGCCCGAAGGCAACTGACGGCTAAGAATATGAGACTTTAAGCTAAAAAGTCTATCTGTATAACTCTGCTCAAGTCCCGCCTGCAGATCTGCTCGGGCAGATTCCTCAGAACAGCTCAAGATCTCCGCAGCTTCACTCTTCAACTTCATCAATCCCTCCTGAGTGGATCCGAACTCCTCGAGTACCTGGTCACGGGAACGCTCTAGTCCGATCAAGTCGTCTGCAATAAGAACGGCGAATTCTTCGGCACGCTTCAAGGCCTCCTTCAACCTAGTCGCTTCCTCGCGATTCGAGTCCAAGGAACGGAGTAACTCAGCTTTCTCCCTATCCATCCTCGCCATGTTAGCCATTAGATGCGCAAGGGAGCTCTCGCGTGACTGAAGCTCACGCCCGACGGAAGATCTCAGTTCACGCCACTGCTCCATCCTATGCTCTAACTCAGAGGATACGAAAGAAGAAGTCCCGGTAACCTCCAGTTCCTTCAACTCTCGTATCTCTGACTCCAGGGCGGCGAAATCAGCAGTGAAGGAATCAGCCAGTTCCGGGTATCCTTCTTCCCTCATCATCGTCATGTGGCGAGAGAAGGAACGCCGGAACTGATCGAAGCCGCCTCCTCGGTGAAGAAGCTTCTCGATCAAGCCATTATACCAGGCGGTGAAGAAGCTGAGGTCCGTACGGAAAGCCTCTCTGTCAGGATCAGTATCGGCCAAAAGGCTACGGACACGCTCGTGCAAAGAAGAGCGAGATCCTACAAGCAACAACTTGGAAGCTCAGTGAACTATCGAATATGGAAAGGAAAGTCAAAAGGCAAGTTCGGAGCATACCGATGCCAACGGACGTCCCTTCGGGTTGAGGTCCGACGGGCTCTGAGACATTAGCCGAAGAAGGTATATCAGCACCTGCAGGTGGATTGCCCATACCACTCGGCAAAGGTGGGGAGGCACCATTACTATGAAGGCTTTCAGTCCTGAGAACTGTAGTGGTATCCGGCCCAGCGCCCGGTCCTACAGTGACACTCCTACGTTAACCAAATGGAAAAGTAAAGAGAATCGGGACAAGAAAATCGTATGCATACCTGCATTCCCCCCGTCCTCAGATACAGCCGGGATGCCAAGAGTCATAAGAGTATCAGCCCAAGCGGCTGGTCCTATGATGGCACTCTCTTATTAGTCAAAATGAAAATTTAGACCAATAAGAAGGATTGGGATAGTACAGTCATCTACATACCTGTAGATCCTTCACCCGTAGGCATTTGAGGGATGCCAGGAGTCATATGAGAATCAGTCCTAGTGGCTGGTCCTATGATCGCACTCATATATTAGTCAAAAGCCAGAGGAACATAGGAAAGTACAATATCCCTGAATCGTATGCATACCTGCAAGCCCGTCATTCTGAGGCAAACTGGATATGCCAGGGATAGATACCGGGCTAACTCCAATAGTTGACGCTGCGATAGTCAATCATTCATTAGTCAAATAAAAGATCGGGCAAGAGGAGGAGAATCAGATATGTACCGGTAGACGAATCATTCCCAAGGAATGGTCTCTCGGTCCCTATGGAAGTTTGCTCAGCCAACATGTCAGCTAATAAACCGGCATCCGGCTTCGAGAAGCTTGGCCCCTCCATTGCAACATCTGCAGGATGACCTGAATGATGAAAGATCAAGAAAATACTTTCAGCAAAAACGAGAAGTCTTCCTTCCCCAGGCTTGAGGAAAATGACATTGAATGTGGACGTACCTGAACAAGGGACTACGGGCTCAACATTATTCATCTGCTCAAGGTCGATGTTCAGATCAATGCCCAAGGACCCGTCGTGAAGAGCGTCACACATTTGTTGCACAAGGCAATCCATGTTATCAGCACCAGGGGACACCGGACCCGGTGGGATTTCGCCCTCTTCGAAGAACCCTGAAGCACGAAACATGGTTACAAATCACAAAAGGTAAACAACCTTGGAGCAAGAGCAATTGAATGTTACCTCCCCCGCCATCGGCAGTGCTCCCTAAGTCCACTCCATAGGGACGCTGACCGTCATGGGACTTGTGGGCGGTCTTCTTCCTCTTCAGGGCACCAACCCTTCGAGGGCCAACAGGTCGAACATGCGCAGGCCTATCACACGTTTCAACGTGTGTAGGAGCTGGTGGCTCATGATCATTGGCTGCCCTACCTAAAGTGACAATAGCCATTTCAATAAAAAAGAGCTGTCATTTATGAAAAAGGAAAATTAAGAGAGACAGGACAAACCGGTATCGAGATCCCCTCTGCCGGTATCTGCATCCACATACTCTTCCTCGGAGGTCTCGTCATCGTCACCCGTAGGGAGAAGTCCTTCTTCGTCGGAGACAAGAGATTTGGCATGCTCTCTTCTCCGCTTCTGAGCTCTGCGACCAGCCATCATAGCAGCCCGGACCGCGTACTCAGACTGCAACTCTGAGAGGCTCCTCACGCTGATGGACTCATATGCAGAAAGGAACCACTTGCAGCTGAGGAAAGTGATCAGTGGCTTACGCCGATACGAAGGAAGAGCAAAACGGGCTCCAGTCCAGCCCACCATCGTCCATAGCCACGCTCGAACGCCATCAATCAATCCTCCCTCAACCCGCAGGCTGCGGCTCGGATTCCCGACATACAGTTGGTCATAGCCGAATTGGCGAGCAAAGCGGCAAGGGAGATAAGGCTCTATGTGGCACTGATTCTTCACCCGAAGGACGAGATACCCTACGCGGATGTTCACTAACCACCGGAAGCAACCAGCGTCAAGAATGGTCCGGTCACTTCTGGGTTTCTCCTCATCAATCAGTGTGTCACCATAGCGACCCGAAAAGTGGGGAAAGCACTTAAAGAACTCCCAGCTTTTACGGACTCGAAGCTCGCGCTGAACATCACTGAATTTGGGCCCATCACTGAATTTGTTCCCAAGCCATCTGCTCTTCTCCAACAGCTGCATAAAAGGAACGGGGACATCAACAACGCTGGGCGCCGACATCAAGTCAGGGCGGTGAAGAACAAGCCACGCCATCAGATACGCATAAGGAAGCTCGATCTTCGGACAAATAAGCTCAGTCGATGGTTCAGAACCCCTCTGTGTAAAGCCACTAGCCAGACACCTAAGCCCGCAGTGGATGCTGGCAACCATCGCTGGGAGCAGGGAGAGCTCTCTCCCGTAAGCTAGCTGAACTGCAGGGAAGAGCACCTCGATGGGTAGAGCGTCTGAAGGCTGGTGCGGGACAACACATTTCTTCAACCAGAGAGCAAGGTAGCCTGCTAGTAGAGTCCGGGGCCCAATGGACTTCTGTGCACGGCGGAGAAACGAACGAAACTTGGTTCCCGCAGGAAAAGCTCCCTCAGCACTGGCAATGGTGTAAGAACGAGCCTCAGCCTTCTCCACCAACTCATTAACGGCGGTAGGGGTCAACACATCTAATTCACGAATGGGCTCGCTGGAATTACCCTCCAAATTCTGGAACAAATAGCTAGCAAACTGCTTCAAGCTAACCTGCCTCTTCCTTTTCGCTTGAGGAGAAGTCTGGACCAAGGAAGTATAATAGTGACAACAAGTGAGATCCCAGAGAGTGTCATACATATCGGGAGTATCTTTCTTCATCCACTCCAACTGCTGGTTCGAGGGAAAATACTCCTGATATGGACAATCCCCCATCGGAAGACCAGAAACCTGATGCATCTCATGCAAGGCCAACCCTAACTCGCCACCGCTGGTCAGGAAGGTGTTACTGTCAGGCATGTAGGTCTCTAGCAACGCCAAGAAATGGCGACAGCTGACCGGGATTCCGTACATGGTGGCTCGCATAGGTGCATACAATCCACTGCTCTTCAAATCCCTCTCCCAGCGCGCCAAGACGAAACTGGTCATGCGTGCCCACCACCCCTTGGCTAGTGAGGAAGCCCAACCATAGCATCTATAATCTGGTGGAGGTAACCTTCTCCCCAGAAGAGCCAGACGATTACCCACGGTAGGAGCAGCTGCTGACACCTCGCCTGGGGGTGCAGTGTCAAGGCCCATGATCCCTGGTCGAAGACCATGAATATCATGATACCCGCTAGAACTAGGAGTCTTGTGATGAGAGGCATATCCACACTGGACTCGCTCAGCATCGGCAGTAAGATGCCAAGACATCTGTCGCTCCACGGCCTGTCCCTTCAAGTGACTGAAAGAATATTGATGCAGAATGGAGGGAATGTACAAGAGAGCTCCTTCGTCGAGAGTCAGCCAGTGTTCCTCGGTAAGGGTCAACGTAGCAGGATCCTCGACGTGATCTCCGAACAGGAAACTCGGCTTCTTTAAAGCCTGAGTAGAGGTAGAATCCGTAGTAAAGGTGGCATCCGTGATAAGCTGGCGCAAACAATGACGCCCTCCTTCCTGTATCAAACGACAAGATTCGTCAGAACGATCTCTGTCAAACCGAGGGAGTGGACTAATGGCCTGCCTGAGAGAAGCTGAAGAGAAGACCTCCCAGCTACAACCAGTATTGGCGTGAGGAGGAAGGCTCCCCGTAGGAAACTCTACTGCAATAAAGCACAAGGGTGGAGTCAGAAAATCCATCTCGTAAGAAGAATGATAAGCTCATTCACGGAATAATTGGAGAGACGATTTTGAGTGTCCTACACCGGAAGAACGGTATGCATCATCACGTAAATAACGTGGTAACATACACCGACCTATAAGGTGTAGGACGACACAAAATCGCCCCAATATACCAGAAGACTTGAATTGGCCAAGCAAAACAAGTCTGAAACCTTAACCCCCGCGAATGAGGGTGTCGGTTCTTCCTTCATGACCCGCGAAGAGGTCAATCAGGGATACGGAAAATGTAAATTCTCACCCCCAAAGAAAGAGGCCGCTGGAAAAGATGTCGCGGGAACCTCTTCCTCGCTGTGCTGCGAATGAGAACGACTCCTACAAGGTCGAGATCGGTGGGGAGACATTGAAAATCTGTAACGAAAAGCAGCAAGTCAGGCACAATCTAAAATATGAATACACGAAATTTAAAAGGGAAATTAAGAACTTTAATTAAAATCCTATGTATAAATAGGATTTCATAATTGAAGTCTAGTTAAACCCTTCGTGTTCAAGGCACAATCTAAAAGGGAAATTTCGTGCATGCGAAACAATGATTGTCATTTTTCGCGGTGAATTTTGGTGAAATACCCAAAATACCCTTCGTGTTCAAGGCCAAATTCGGGTCAAGGACACGCTCGGGTTGGGTCATGGTCATCATATCTGATCATATAGCACCCCCGATACCCCACAATTTTGGGTTAATTTTACAAATAAACCCTTTTGTAAAATGAAGCCAAATTTGCAAATAAACCCCTCAATTTACGTCCACATGCCCTTATCAAAACTTTGATTATTGGGTTGTGGTCTAAACTTTTGGAATTTCAGCCCTAAATTTCAGCCCTTTTGCAAATAAACCCCTCTACACTTTGTGGGTTGCTTTTTGCAAATAAACCCCTCAAACAATATTGGTTTTCTTGCATAAAGCACCCCTCAAATTTTCGACCAAATGGACATGCAGTCCGAGCCACAAAATTTCAGTCCCATTTTTGCATAAAAGCCCCTACAAATTTCAGCCCCCTTTTTACATAAAAGCCCCTACAAATTTCGGCCCTATTGTAACTTTGCATAAAACCCCCCACATTCTTGTGCATACACATCATCAAATAACCTATCCTCTAACTCATGAGAACATAAAGCTATGATCTTTCTTGAAAAGAGGAGAGTTTTGAAGGGGAACTTACCAAATCAAGAGGCTTTTCTTGAGCTTGAAGATGATGAAACCCTAGCTTGGAGGAGAGAGTATTTTCGGCCAAGGAGAGAACACCAAAATCCGAAATTTCTTTATGGAGTTTATGGGTTTTGAGTTCTTGAAAGAAAGGAAACAATGGTGGAAGGATGAAAGGAGGAAGAAAGAGCTTTAGAAGGAGAGGGAATCTTTTTGAATTTTGGAAAGAGGGGGAAACAAAAGAAGAAAGAAATTCAAAAGAAAGAAAAAAAAGAGGGGGGGGACCACGGTTTTGGCCAAAACACCCCAAGGGGTGTCTCGGCAAAACCGAGACACCCCAAGGGTAGCTCCTCGGCTAGGTCGAGACAACCCACGGGGGTCTCGGCGTCTCGTTTGGTCCCCGTACGCCTATATATATGCCCTTTTGAGACCGATTTCGTCCATTTTTTCGCGGTTGTTGGGTATTTCGACAAGATCCATACTAATCAACACGAACGAGTCGAAAACCTTAGGTCCCGTCAACGCCGGGTCAACGCGTAACCCTAGGTCAACGCCAGTTCAACGCCGCTTGCCGACAGAGTTCAACGGTTTTGACGATTTCGAAAACCCTAGTCGGTCAACGCCGGTCAACGCGCTAACCCTAGTCAACGCCACGCTCAACGCGTATGCCGACCAAAGTCAACGATCTGACGATTCGAAACCTAGGGCTCAACGTGCGGTCTACACGCGTAACCCTAGGGTCACGCCAGTCAACTGTGTTGCGACCAAAGTCAACGTTGACGCATTCGAAAACCCTAGGAGTCGACGCCGCGTCAACGCCGTAACCCTAGGTCAACGCTCAGTCAACGCGTTGCCAACCACGAGTCAACATACTTGTGATCCGAAACCCTTTAAGTTCAACACAATGGTGACGCGAGGTAGTTCAAAAGGTCAAACTCAATGACACAAGCCCAAACTCCATTCAACAGCCTGTAGACTCGAGACTCCGACGGACGGCCAAAACGATAAACGCAGCGCCGAAAGAAACTTCGGCCTATTCGTCAAAGCATCAAATAGGCGACCGCAAAATCGAAGGATGCCAAGAGGTTTGAAGCTAACTACAGTTCCTTACGCCGACTGAAGGCTAGACAATCACATCCAAAGTATTCCAGCCTCTTCTATAAAGAAATGAGTTCTCGGAACGCTTTGGCAGGGGCCGCCCGGTATCTGTAGGCCATCGAACAATTGCCCTATAGGTCTCCACGAACGGTTCAGTGTTAAAGAGTGACGATGAACGTCACTATCCGATCCACAGGAGTTCGATTGACGTCGAGGAATGATTGAAGTGAATCGACGAACTACGTGAGCTGATAGGATTTCGGGATAACAAAGGCACGGGCTAATCGAGAGCCCCGCGATGTTGCAAAA